CCGACCGACTCAAGACCAAGCAGGTTGGCAGCAGCAGCAGAGGCAACAGAGGGCAGCAAGGGGGAAGGAGAGCACCCCTCAAAGATGGGGGTGCGAGGGTCACCACGAGAAGCACCTACAGCGACTATGCTCTTCTCCGCTGCGAGGAGGGCCTTCTCGAGGAGGTCGACGGTGAGGGTGGTGGGACAGACTGCAAGAAAGTGGTCCCTGACGACGCGAAGGGAGTCAGGGAGGCGCGCGACTACGTAGTAGAGAGCGATGTACATGGGGGGTGGGTTCTTAGCGCAGAACTCAGCAGGAAGGGCGGCGCGGTAGCGAGTGTCACTAGTGCGGAGGTGCGTAATGAGATCAACGACAGTGGGAAAGGCAGAGAGGTCAGGAAAGAGGTAGGGAAGCATGAGACGGCTCAGTGCAGCAGTGGCAGGGGAGGAGTAGCGCGCAACTACAGCGTCGTACAAGGTCTGAGCACTCTTGTACTGACTAAAGTGCGCACGCTCAGAGGTAGGGAGGTGGCGACGCACAGCAAGACGTGCAGCAGCATCGCGGGTGGCCCACTGAGAGCGGACAGTGGGATCAGCATCAGCAGCAGGAGCAGGAGAGGCGCCAGAGGTGAGGTCAAAGAGAGAAAGGTCGTCAGCCCTGTCGCACTGTAAGAAGAGCTGCACGTCGTCTAACCAGACCTCAAAATCAATGGCGCGACCCTCAGCGTCAAAAGCTAGGACACTAGGGGTAGCCATGGCGACGACAGCGACGCAGTGCAAGCAGTAGGGAAAGAGCTCGCAGTGTCAGTGGGACTGTGCTCACCAGGCAGGGCAGGTCGTGCAGCTCTGCAGAAAGGCGGCTCAGTGACCGGGCGGCTCGGGTGCACTGCGGCTCGGCTCCCGGGCGGCTCGGCGGCTGGGCGGCTCGGGCGCAGGGCGGCTCGGCTCCCGGGCGGCTCGGCGGCAGGGCGGCTTGGGTCCCGGGCGGCTCGGCTCCCGGGCGGTTCGGCTGCTGGGGCGGCTCTGCTGCTGGGGCGGCTCGGCCGGGAGATGCAGGGGCGGGGCCGTCAGGTGCAGCGGCGGGTCGACCGGTGCAGCGGCGGGCCGGCAGGTGCAGCGGCGGGGCCGTAGGGTGCAGCGGCGGGCCGTAGGGTGCAGCGGCGGGCCGGCAAGTGCAGCGGCGGGGCCGTCAGGTGAAGCGGCGGGCCGCTGGGTGCAGCGGCGGGCCGGCAGGTGCAGCGGCGGGCCGGCAGGTGCAGCGGCGGGGCCGTCAGGTGAGGCGGCGGGCCGTAGGGTGCAGCGGCGGGCCGTAGGGTGCAGCGGCGGAGCCGGCGGTGGGGCCGCGTCAGTGGAGGCGGCGGGGCCGCGTCAAGCAGGCGGCGGGGCCGCGACGAAGCGGGCGGCAGGGCCGCGTCAGAGCCGGCGGCGGGGCCGCGTCAGTGGAGGCGGCGGGGCCGCGTCAAGCAGGCGGCGGGGCCGCGACGAAGCAGGCGGCAGGGCCGCGTCAGAGCCGGCGGCGGGGCCGCGCCAAGCAGGCTGCGGGGCCGCGATCAGGAGGGGTGGCGGGGCCGCGTCTGAGGGACAGCGGGGCCGCGAGGGAAATGGCGACCCGAGGGGTCGCTAAAAAAAAAGGCGCGCCTCGGGGCGCGCTTCGGTGGGCCCTAAAAAAACGGTCCTAAGGAAGGACTCGCTCTATACCATGTGAAACAAGTGAACAGGAATGGAAATGACTAAGTCAGAGTTGGGTACAAATACAACCCTAGAAAGCTGTACCCCATATGTGCTACCCCACTATAGCCTACAAACATGCATCAGCTATAATACTCTGACACACACGTGGCCTCGAATCGCTACCGTGGTCGGACAATTCGATGATAATTGCTCGAGTGGTCTTGCCAGAGGTTTCCTCTGGCTTTTTTTTTATCCGGCACATTACCCAAAACCGGTTTTTAGCCCTGCTTTTCTTACGCCGAAACAAAACCTCTGGCCAATTAGAGTCAAATTGAAACGCGCTCTGTAATTGGTCGCGCGTGTGGATAGTCGTGCAACTGAGTATATGATCGGGGATTCATATCTCTATGCGCGGATTGGTCAAGAATTGGACCGAAAATGAGCGAGACTGTTCGCCCAAGATGATCGTGTTGATTATTGTTGTGTATTCGAACGGTGACGTGGCCGCCCTCGCGCACGTCACCCAGCCGAAAATTTCGGGCAGAAAATCACACGCCACGTTTTTGCGGGAAGAGACACGAACGACGTAAGAAAAGCAGGGCTAAAAACCGGTTTTGGGTAATGTGCCGGATTAAAAAAAAAGCCAGAGGAAACCTCTGGCAAGTCCACTCGAGCAATTATCATCGAATTGTCGGACCACGGTAGCAATTCGAGGCCACGTGTGCAACGGCAAATCACCGTTTCCGGGTCTGGAGAAATTCTCTCAGCCAGATTCACCACACCATAATCGTGCATGACAGATGCTATCGTGACGATCATCCAGCAAATACCTCACTATTGGAATGATGCGTATAGCAGACACTGCTACGTGACCAGGGTTTGTGAGACGCCACAGGGTTTTCAGGAAAGAATTTCTGCTGTCGCTCGGCAGCTGTGTGACGGAGACGCCATTGCGAGTCCATGTCTCCCTCTAAAAAACGAAGTAGACCGGCAGATTTGTGTCTCGATCAGGATGAGGAGGTCTGCATTGTCGACCCGGACCACAACATCCCTCATTCGCATGAACTGGAAACACCAGTTAAAGAATCTTGCGTCCGAGTTTTTTGGGACATTGAGAATTTAGGCATTCCAAGCAAATGCGAGACTAGATTCTTTGCTCGTCAACTAAAAAAAATAGGCGATTCGTACGGAGAAATTATTCAGTTTACGGCTTATGGGAAACAGGGAAGAATCGGCTCACGTGCACGCGAACTGCCAGCATGCGGTGTGAATTTCGTCAACGTTTCGTCAGGAAAGGAAATGGCAGACAAGGCCATAATCCTGGACATTATGTGTTTCGTTTTTGACACGAAAGGTCGACTCAGCAAAAAGCAAGCTAACGAGCAAGGGATTTCAACGACAGAACTGTTAAGCTGCAGGTATGATCTCTCATGCCTCTCTTGCAATGGGGTTGTACTAATGATTCGTTTAAACTCAGTTTGACTCGTTCATGCGTGGTGCTTATCACTGGTGACTCTGGCTTCGCTCCTCTTATATCCAGACTCCTTTCCCGGGGTGTCAAAACTGTCATAATTACCAGACTACCGGGATCATTGTCTCGCACATTGAAGCCGCAGCCTGTATCAACTTCCTTGCTAGAATCAGGAGCTGACATTCATGACTGGGATCAAGTGGTGCCATCTGAGTCTGCAAACTTCTCGTCAACATCAGGCCCCCCTTCGGCAGCCATGGTTGAGTCGCAACCGGTCGAGGCGAACGAAACATCACCTACCGACGCGTTGCATGAATGTAACACAGCAAGTCATTGTGTTGCAGAGCTTTCGTGGGCTGCTGTCAAGGAGCGTGCTCAGCAGGGGTTTACAAATGAGAGCTTCACTTTAAGTCTCCTGAAGTGCCAGGTGATGACTGTGCTTGCGGCTCATGGTCCTCTCTGCATTGAGAAATTTCTTCAGGCCTTCGCCACTCTAATGGGCAAGCCGTTTCAGCCGAAGGATTATGGGTTGAGACGCGTGAAAAAACTTCAAAATGTCCTTCCTGGTGTGGTGCAGCTGAATACGGTTTGGTCACTGATTGAGAACCCTAAGCTGATTCCAGGAAACGGCGAACACAAGCTTTCGCAACAGAGGAGCTTGTGCCTCGTTTCTTCACCAAAAAACTTGAGAACCCTTGGGCTCATTCAGTCAAGATTGAGGCTGCTTGTGCACAAAGTGCTGGCAGTAATCGTGGTTGAAAATGGCGAGCCCTGGGTGCCTTTACAGGTGCTTCAAACAAGAGTGGAACAGAGAGTTGGCCGGTCTCTTGATTCTGTTCTGACCAAGCATGGATATGGGGTTGAAGGGGAGATGCCTTTGGACTGGAGGTTTGTGGCAATGCTTCAGGATTTGTCTGATGTTGTTCATGTGCAATCGAACGAGACAGGGCATTTGCACGTCCGGACTACTGGATGGACAGGGGAAGCCCAGCTGGTCAAAGCTTGGGTGCTTCAAAATCCAATGTGGGACGGGTCTGTGTATGCAGAGTGTTAGCAACAGACCCTGTACCTCTAAACAGAAAAACATTGACTCCAGCCTTTCTGTTTTTGTGCATGTACGTAGTCACGTTTCATCTGAATGCAGAACATTTTGGGGCACTGTGCTGTAAGATTCCGCCACAATTGTTCTGGTCAAACTGCTGGTAACACAACCATGATGGAGGTTCTTAACCATGATACGGTACAAGAACCTCGCACTTTCTGCTGCCTGTTCTCCATTTTAGAGGCCATCCATACCACCGACTTGCTCTGAGAATTATTTAAGGTATAATTACATTTAGAAAGTTGGCTATTTGAATCTAATGTGGAAACATGCATACACACTGAATGTTTACTTAGAATGGTACCGGAACCTAATCTCTAAGCATGGTTGTATCTACCGTACTAGATTTTATTACTCCCCTGCGTATAGAGTAATACAAGGTGAGAACATATCGGAAGAAAGCACTTGTGAGTCACTGGTGAGTGATTGGGAGTCCTGCCCTGACTGGTGAAGTGAGCGTCAGCTGAAGGGTGCTACAGTGCACGATGTCAGGAATCCCCAAGGCACATACCATATGGGTGAGCTTCTCAAGCCTTCTCATCACTGCTCTGTCAGGGACAACGACTGTTCTGGTTAGTGACCTCGAGGGCAGTTTCTCGAGCGTAGTTCTGTCGAAGTCACTGCAAACGATCCCCGTTCGTATTTTTAGGAATCCTTCAAGCGCGTCGGAAGAGCCGAGTCGCTGATCCTTTTGATTCCTCCATCTCGTGTTCTGCCGGAAGAGTTAATTTCTCCTAGTCTTGAATATTTTTCATTAGGTTTCGACAGCACAACCATGTACGGTTTTGAGGCTCTCACGTTCAACATTAACGATGGTTACCTGGAGGCGATCGTGCGAGGGTACCGGTCAGGGCTGCTGACAGCCGCTGATTACAACAACCTGTGCCAGTGCGAGACGCTAGACGACATTAAGCTCCACCTCACGGGGACGGACTATGGAGGCTTTTTACAAAACGGTTAGCACGCTTGCCTTTCTTATTTCTTGCAGATCACACCGCTGATTATTTCAAATGGGAAGAGGCTGATCCATATTTTGTTGCTCGGACCCCGCTGATCAAAACGCCGCAAATAACTAGTTGTTCTTTTCTCACTGACAGATGTTGATCTTGAATAGTGTCGAGTCAATGTCTCTGCTACCGGCTGTTTCCTTTTCCCAGAGCCGTCTCCGCTGCATACGACGACTATCGTCGACAAGTGCACGCAGAAGCTGGTGGACGAATTCGACCACATGCGCTGCCAGGCCACCGAGCCTCTCTCCACCTTCCTCGACTACATCACGTGAGGCTGCCTCGGTGCTTTCTTCCAAACATTTTTCTTCTCTGTACGGCGTTCTTACCCTAGACCCACAGCAATCTGTCTTTCTGGCTAACGTAACGGCTTTTAAATGCTTTGGATTACGGGACGTCATTCAGCAACCTGGTTTACCGTACACATTACTGAGATGTTTATTCTGCTCGGCCAGCTGTTAAAGGCGAAGATCCGATGCTCCTCGGCTTTGGCCGATGCACAACTGCTGAGTGTTCGGCAAGCGTGCACCCCGCGGATCAGATAACAACCGTGTTCTAAAGTACCCGTTATAATGATTATGTCTATCCCGTATGCCTCGCCGTTTCCCGTGCTACGCTGAGCAGTTACGGCCACATGATCGACAACGTGGTGCTCATTGTGAGCGGTGCGCTACACGAGAGGGACGTGCACGAGCTGCTGGAGAAATGCCACCCGCTCGGCATGTTTGACAGGTAACCAGAGAGCTGAGGGTTACCAGGGATTGGAAGGTAACGTGGGGTTGGAAGGTAACCTGGGATTGGAAGGTAACCTGGGGTTGGAAGGTAACCTGGGATTGGAAGGTAACCTGGGATTGGAGGGTAACCGAGGATGTGAGGGTAGCCAACAGTCAGAGGTTAACCAGAGATCAAAGGTTAACAAGGGATCGGAAGGTAGCCGGGGATTTGAGGGTAACCAGGAGGCTCAACAAGATTGGAGAATGACCAAAGATTGAAGGGTATTCACGGATTGGACCAGCCCTGTATGTCAAGTTTCGAGATGCTACTTCCGTTTTTTTCTGAATGGATCTTTTACTGATGCCTAACAAAAGCGCTCTTCGCTCTTTCCGTTTGCAGCATCGCTACCCTAGCTGTTGCTCAGAACATGAGGGAGCTGTACCGCCTGGTGCTGGTGGACACACCCCTTGCTCCCTACTTCTCTGAATGCATCACCTCTGAGGTGGGTATCGCATGGAAGGAATTTGCAGTCCAAGCCAAGCGTTCCTGAGGACGGTATCAGCAGCTAGCAAACTGCTGTAGGCTGCGAGCCTGCATGTTTGTCTCTCTTGAACGCGCTTCTGACTCTCCCACGGCACATCATACCTCTGTGTTCTTCGTCCTGTGCAATTATCTTTATCCGTCTACTTGCTCTGATTCTCTTTTCTTACCTTTGTTTACAGGATCTGGACGACATGAACATTGAGATCATGCGGAACACCCTTTACAAGGCGTACCTTGAGGACTTCTACAAGTTCTGCAAGGTGTGTAGAACGAATGTGCATAATGCTGCAAGGCACACGCAGACTGTTGGCTGATTTGCACTTTGCCCCTAAGTCATTGCTGAGACGGTGTTCTGGATGCAGTGGTGCTATTTATGTTCATTTTTCTTGGACCGTTGCCTTTGCCTTGCATTTGATTCTTTTCCTTTCACCAGCGTGTGGGGGGGGCAACTGCAGAGATCATGTGTGACCTTCTTGCCTTCGAGGCGGACAGACGTGCTGTCAGCATCACCATCAACAGGTGGGACTGCAAGCACAAACATGACCACTATGTAGTAGGTTGTGGTTTGTTGCCATTTGACTGCATTTTTGCTGGAGCAAGCTCAAATCCATGAAGTTTCCCCTTGTGTCATTGAGCAGTATTGGCACTGAGCTCACTCGAGATGACCGAAGAAAGCTCTACTCCAACTTTGGCCTCCTGTAAGACTTCAAGTCAAAGCAATGCTTTTTTTCTTCGCCCAAAGCTATTCCTCTCGCTTTCATTCTTGAACCTGTACATATCATATTCCCCTCCATGGACATCTTAAAATTTGCATTGATGATTGGATTTTTTGCTGCATGTCCCCCATTCTTGTTCCCATCGCTGCCTTCCGTGCATCCAGTTACCCGTATGGTCATGAAGAGCTTGCTATCTGCGAAGATTTTGATCAGGTATGCAAAATGCTGCTCCTTGGTACTGATTGTTCTGTGTGGCATTGAGTGCAGAACTTATGCAATTTTGCTTGCCCACCTTCCCTACCTTCTACTCACTGACGACTGTAACCCTTCGTCCTCGGCCTCCTACTCCCTTACCCCGTGAGCAGGTGCGGGCAGCCATGGAGAAGTACCCTCCGTATGCGGCCATCTTTGCCAAGCTGTCATTTGGGGAGAGCCAGATGCTGGACAAGGCGTTCTACGAGGAGGAGGTCAAGCGCCTCACACTCTCGTTTGACCAGCAGGTGTGTGCCCCCAGGCGCTGCAGGCTCGCGTGCCACTTCCACCTCTTTTATATGCGATGTGTGCGTAACTTGTGCTTGAGATTGGTGCTTTTTTTCTTGCCTTTCTCACTTCCGCTATTGTTTCGTCTCCCTCCCCCCTCCCCCCTCCTCGCCCTCCTTTCCTTTCTTGCAACTCCCTCCAGTTCCACTATGGTGTGTTCTTCGCCTATGCCCGGTTGAGGGAGCAAGAGATTCGCAACCTGATGTGGATATCGGAGTGTGTGGCTCAGAATCAGAAGTCTCGCATTCACGACGGCATTGTCTTCATATTCTGATCCCTGTCGTGCCGGTATCTGTACTCCAGCTACATGGCCCCATATTCAGTGACACGGCATCATTTGCAGCACTTGGAGAGCAGTAGTCCTTTATTGACAAAAGTAGGCAGGCACTGAGATAATGATACTAGCTTGTGACTTCAGTGTTGGAATGTACGTATATAAATCTTGCTAGAAAGGCTTAGTGCCGGCGTAGGGGAAACGTGTTTGTAGAAAGAACAAGATAGAAAATCTTGCATTGATCATTGAAAAGTAGAATGATGACACAAAAACGACTCAATGATGATGAAGTGACAGAGCATGGTATATATGCATTCGGCTACCCCTCCTAGGGTGATCCATTCACACCAATAATGGTCTACCAATAATTGTACCATCTACCCTCCAATATGGTGGGCTCCAATAATTGTGGCCCTATAATGATTATGACAATTATTGTAGGACCTGGAGGCTTATAATGAAGACTACACTAAAACCAAACAGCACACTGGTATACACTATTCGTTATACTGTATTCAGATTTCCAACAAATCTCATACGACACCCCCTCCCATGTGCTGTCCTGTGCTGCGCTTCCCAAGTTACTCAAGCGGGTTCTTTCTGGCCTCTATGCAACAGGACAAGATACACATATAGTTCAATCAACAACTGGAAAACAGTTTTATATTCCACAATTTAATGCCAATGCTCTTTGGATTGGGCGCATGAAGTATGTGTCAGAAACTAATGAGTAGGAATGCGTGCATTAATATGAATATTTTAAAAAGCTGTAGCGCTTTTCGAAATTTTGTATTTTAAAAGCGATGCTGTTTGTAATGTAAGAGTGAAAAGAGTCGAATCGTGGGTTGGATGTCATTTCCCTCCACCTACGTCTCTCATTTTCAAACGGTTTAGCACATTTTCCCGCCCACCCACCTCTTGGAAAAGCGACAACTGTAGTAAGGGCGTATTCCTACAGCCTCCTATCAAGGCCACCTCCTATCAAGATAGTACTTTTGCCTGGGAAAAGTAACGAGAGGTTTCGGGTTTAGGGAATTTTTCAGTGTGAGCTTGATAGGAGGTCAGATTGATAGGAGGATAGGAATACGCCCTAAGATGTCAGCATTGTAGTATGTTAGAACTGCTTGGTGTTACGAATAGTGGTTAATGAAAAACACTGTTGCGCACTTCTCACCGTAGCAAAGTCGAAGCACGCACTATCGAGAGTGAAGACGAAAAGGCAGAAGAAAGGCGAAGGGACAGACGGTTACGAGGAGCATCTGAACCGTCGGGCACACAGCATCAGGCAGCAGCAGTGGCGAGGATTCTGCCCAAACAGTTACGTAACCACTCGGAGTCGCACGGTTGGATTTCGCTGCAATAAGGGAATGTACCCCTTAGAGTAAATGGCTAGTTAGGTCGTTTCGAATTCCCCAGTACTCATATTTATATTCCTTGTACTGCACGTGTTTATTATCTCAAGCATTTACATTCACTCTGCTATTGAGGTCAAGGGCCCACCAACATCACTTCTCTGCGTGCGAACCTTCCTGAGTAGATCCTAGGCCACGATCAACTTCTGATCATAACATGTTATGAGAGCGACTCGGGAATCCTTCGCACCGCCATCTCCGAAATCTGCGACATTCAGAAAGTGGCGTCCGGCACACGATCACGTGTAAGAATGGCCAGAGGATCTGGAGGTCAGACGAATCTGACGGCTGAAGCGCAGCCCAACCCGGCTGCGACAAACGAGGAAACGACGACGATTCCTTCCGCCGTCCTCGCACAACTACTTCAGCGACTCACGAGCATGGAGCAAGGGCTCCAGACATTGCGGAATGGCGATGCGGGAACCTCTTCCCAACCCACTCAACCGGCCTCAAACGACCAGAATTCCGCCCCGCAAGGCTTCTCTCTCGATACGAATGGCTCAACCCCCAAGACTTACTGTCCCAGCGATGAAGGAATTCTCTCAGCGCAATCAAGGTTTTTGAGCATATAAAAAATAAAGACAAGTGCGTGCTTTGACGGCAGAGACTTCTATACCCGGAGCTTTGAGCTGGAGCTGCTACTACAAAACGCGCAGATTTATCATTATTTCGACGGAAGCTACTCGGGGCCTACGGAAGATACTGATGACGCAAAAACCAAGTACTACAACGAGTCCCTGATGGCGTATGGGGTTCTTCTGCGGAACATGTCGCCGACGGAGCAATTGAGCATTCGCTCATACAAGACCTCCCCTGCTCCAGCTTGTCATAATATTATAGCTTATGCTTTTGTGTAGGCTGTAGTGGCGTAGCCTATATGGGGTACAACCCAATTAGGGTTAGTACTTGTGTCAGAATAATATATAACTCTATATATTGTTTTGTAACTGCCTATAGTGTAGAATACTGTAGTCATATAACTTTCTGTTTGGTGGTGCACCTTTCTTCATTCTTGCCTATTTGTACTTCTCGCTCTATAGTGAACCTCCTCTTTTTGGCTTGCACTTTTCTCTCGTCACTCTCGCCTACGTCAAACCCTAGGCCTCAACTACTATTCTTGATATGGTACAGAGCACGTCACATCCTGGCCTGCCTTATTTTTTAACTACGCCATGGGCCCACCGCGTATTCCTCGTTTCGTGGCTCCCGTCGCTCCCTTAGTTGCGACTGACGTGATGGGCGCGACGGCGAGCTGCCTACTATCGTGGCGACGAGTTGGGCGGCTCGTTCTGCCCTGTTGCTCCGTCGCCCTGTCACCCGCCCCGCGCTACCTGCCTTGTCCCGAGCTGCCCCGCCCCTTGTCCCGTTACGAGCTGCCACAGCCACACACATCCGCGCGCAGCTGCGTACGGCCGATTGCAGCTGCGCACAGCCGCGCGCAGCCGCGTATGGCCGCTCCCCTGCCCCGCACCTGCTGCTCGTGCGCCAGTGAAATGCGGGGGGAAGGGTGTGGGGTTGGCGCGTGGGTGACACTGCACCTGCCGTCGCTGTTCACCTTTTCCTCCCTCTCACTGTACCCGTGGGGGGAGGGGGAGTGTGAGAGGGTGGCGAGAGAGATTCTGCAATGCCAGCAGCCGCCCCTCCTCTCTCTCTCACTACCGCTCGTGCTGCTGTGGGGGGGAGGGTGAGAGAGGGTGGCGGAAGACAGCCGGGTATTTGCTGCTGTCGCCCGTTGCTGCAGTAGCACCTCCAGCTGCCGCCCCTGCTACCACCTGCCTTTTCTACCTTTGCTTTTGCTACCTGCTGCTGGGGCCTGCAGGTGCTGCCGTCGAGCCGCTGCTGTCCTGCTGCATGTTGCAGCCACAGAGCCTGCTCCTCAGGCGACCTGCCGCCCCAACACCTGCTACTGTTTCTACCTTGGTCAAGGGGTTGGTACAGTTGGATCTGCCATCACTGCACCGGTTGCCACTGCACTTGCCTGTTGCTGTGATTTCCGCTGCGGCCTATCTGGTGTACCCCATTATGGGGGCGTTGACTGCACATTCTTCCCTACAGGCACTTATGGGGGCGTGTCAGAATAATATATAACTCTATATATTGTTTTGTAACTGCCTATAGTGTAGAATACTGTAGTCATATAACTTTCTGTTTGGTGGTGCACCTTTCTTCATTCTTGCCTATTTGTACTTCTCGCTCTATAGTGAACCTCCTCTTTTTGGCTTGCACTTTTCTCTCGTCACTCTCGCCTACGTCAAACCCTATGCCTCAACTACTATTCTTGAAAACTTGTACCCAACTCTTTCATAGTGCATTCATTCTCGTTCATTTTCACATGGTTTCAGAGCACATATGCTCCTGGCCTGTGGGCCCTACTACTGCTTCCGCTGCTACTCGATCTGTCGCACGCCCCGTGGCGTGCGTCCTATTGCGCGCGGCGATTTTCTCTCTGGCGCGCGCCCCGAGGCACGCGACCTCGTTCCTTCTAGGCGCGCCACTCCCCGCTACCCCGTCGCGGCGCCAAGGGGAGCCGCGCGCGACCCCTCGCTGCCCCATCGCGGCCCCATCTCGTCGCGCCGCCCTAGCGGCCGCGTCGCGCCGCCCTCGCGGCCCCGATCCGCCGCCCTAGTGGCCCCGTCACCTACCCCTACGGCCCCGGCGCCGCCCATCCCGGCCCCGGCTCCGCCCTTCCTGGCCCCGGCGCCACCTCGGCTGGCCCCGTCGCCTACCCCGGCGACCCCGACGCCGCCCTTCCCGACCCGGCCCCGCCTCTGCTGGCCCCGTCACCTATCCCTATGGCCCCGGCGCTGCCCTTCCCGGCCCCGGTGCCACCTCTGCTGGCCCCGACGCCGCCCTTACCGGCCCCGGCGCCGCCTCTACTGGCCCCGTTGCCTACCTCTACGGCCCCGGCGCCGCCCTTCCCAACCCCGACGCCGCCTCTGCTGGCCCCGTCACCTACCATGCGGCCCCGGCGCCACCTCTGCTGGCCCCGTCGCCGCTCCACCCGGCCCCGCCGCCGTCCCCAAGCGGCCCCACCGTCACCACCGAGCCGCCGGCGCCGCCGAGCTGCTACCGAGCCGCCCGAGCCACCCGAGCCGCCCGAGCCGCAGCGCCACCTGAGCCGCCCAAGCCGCCGGGTCGCCGAGCTGCAGTTGCTGCCGGGCGCCGTACCGCCGAGCCGCCTGAGCCGCCCGAGCCGCCGAGTCGCTGAGCCGCAGTTGCCGCCGAGCCGCCCGAGTCGCCCGAGCCGCCGAGCCGCAGTTGCTGCCGAGCCGCCGTGCCGCCGAGCCGCCCGAGCCGCCCGCACCGCCGAGTCGCCGAGTCGCCGAGCCTGCTCTTCCCACCACTGGTGAGCCCCTGCCCTGCTAGCGCGCTGCCCGCCGCCTGCTTGCCTGCCTGCCTGCCTTTCGGCCTGCCTTACTCCCTGCCTTACAGCTACTACTCCTGATCCTGCTTCTACTGGCGGAGCCAGATGCAGCCCCAGCTACGTCCGTGTGAGTCCCTCACGCCCCAGCAGCTGCGTGAGTGGTACGCTGGTTGGGATTGTAGGGGTGGCCGCGCTGCTACTGCTACCACTACTGCTGCTACTAC